ATGCACCAGATCCAGCATAGAGTTGGTATGTAGAATTATTTTGCAAGTGAGACCCAGCATGCTTGCTTTGACCCATGTGCAGGATCTGGACAGAGAGCAACTGCACCTTGTTTGCCTGGGTCTCAGCTGCCTGTATCAGTTTTTTCTCCCAGGTCCTCCTGGGAACATTTTCTGGACACAGGTTCTTTGTTTGTTACTGCTTGACAGACAAGGTGCCTGCTGGTCCTCTTGCCACCAAAATATCCTAGATATTTAAACACATCCTCTCTCAGAACTTCAGGCATGAAGGCACTTTGACCTACAGTTTAACTCTTCAGGGGCCTATGATGGTAAAAGCAGAAACACAGACAAGCTTGGCATACTATTCTAAAACACAAGGATTCTTCACTGAGTGATATAGGAAATACACAAATCTAGACAAGCATAATAAACCTTGTGTACATTTCTCAACCTCATTGTCCTCACCACTCTAAAGCATTCTTTGGGTAGGGAGTCAAGTTCTTTGGGGAGATCCAGGATTCTTCTTCTGAACTTTGTAGTTTGCTTTCTGAACCATGAAGTCTTATCAGCTCAGCACTGTTTCCCAGATCTAGGTTGGTCCCACAGCTAAACACATCCCTATTCCCGACTACAAGAGCATGCTTGTCTCTTCCCCTCTCAAGCCCAAAGTTCCTTAGGTCTATCCCTGTGTCTCCTCTGTCCCTTTGTTCTGCTTCAGTGATCTCTATTCCCTAAAGCCCTTATTGAGGACAGCTAGGGAAAATTAACTGGTTCTGGCAACCTCCTTCCTCCCCACCCCCCCAATCTCCTTGCTATTTTGTTTCCTGGATGAAACTACAGTTGGTAAAATTAAGTACTCTCTATTTTTGCTAGTTTAATGGGAACGCAGTAAAGAATTTGCCAGCAAAAGTGGGTACATGCAGTGGCATTGCAAGAGACAACAATTTTCACAGTAACAACTTCATAATATCAACTAGAATTCTTAAGTCGTACACAGACAGATTCCCCAAACCATCACATTTCTTGGAAAGTGATGGACTTGACAACAAAAGTAGAAGATACAAGACTGGTTCCCACATTAACATTTTAGACACTGTGCCAGCCCTGCCTTACCAATATAAGTAGTCAGTGGGACTACATGCATGAGTCAGCCCATCATGACAGAACCACAAAATCATCTGATATGTGAACCCCTCATGACTGCATAAAATGTAAATTAAATGCTGAGATTTTTGGCTGCCTTTAGAGCTTTATTGTACTCTAATGTTTCTTTAGTTGCAACGAACACAGAATACCCATGTCCATTTGACTGGCAAAGTCCTAGGGCTAAAATCCTGTCATGCTGCTTCATCAAAGTAAAAAGTTCTCAAAATGAGTAAAATCTTCCCCTGAGTATCTCTTGTGGCCCACATCCTGCCTTTTATTTGGCAAGAGCATACTATGACAATTTTCTACTTTCCAGAACCACCAGTGGACCATGTGAATCAAAGTATAAATTAGAGCAGCCCTTAAGCTGACTAACACCAGATGCCAGGCAAGGTGCTCACACTTGCTTAAAGTAATCACTATTCCAGCATATGTACAGAATAAACGTACTCCCAAACACATTGTGCTGCTCCAGAAAGGCTACTTCCTAAACTAGAGCAGTGTAGCCCTGTCCACATCACTGAGTTGGGGATGGGCTAATCAGCACTGTCACTCAGCAGTGCTAATTAGCCAGCCTGAAGATCTGTGGAGATATGGCTACTGTGTTTCCAGTACAGGAAGCAGTAGTAAATTTCATGACCAGACAGTGTCCCTCTCCAACTCCCATCACTGCTGCCCAAAACTGGTTTGACTCAGCATGGAACATGCCAAAGACTGGCAAGGTGACATTATCAAGGAAAGATAGTTGGTATAATAAAGATAACAGAGAGAGAGATGGAGGAAAAAGGGGGAGAGAATGATTGGTACCTAGCACATCCAAACTAAAGCTAGATCTATGCTAGGTATGAAGCAAAAGGCTGAGGTGAGGACACTCATTTATGCATTGATTTTTCAGAAGTTGTTTGCCCAATGCTGCCCTTAAGACATTTCTATGTACATAATAATATAGACATGTATAATGGATGGTTCAAGAATGAATACACAGATAATTCACCTGGCAGTATAAACCATGAGAGTAAATACGAAGTGGTTTAAAATGACAGCAAGACCCTGAGACCTTAAGCCCCACATCCATCTGAGGGACATCTATAATAACAACATGCTAACTTGAAAAGAAAATCCATATGGTACAAGTTGAAATTTTGGGATGAAATGTTTATTATTTACATGTGGTTTTACTGATTTAACATTTACAAATCTCCGGTCAATGAAAGGGTAAATCAGTTCTTTGACATCAACAGGCAAGAATTAATAGCCTCTCTCCTGTGGCTGTTTACAGAGAAGTAAATGTATTCTATAAAGTGTATATATTATAAAGTTTTTTATGGCCCTACTATGATTTTTCACACTTAAGACATAACAATCTATTCTAAGATTGTATTTGGCATACTTCTAATTGGTATTTTATCTTGTCACCATCATGACAATTTCCTAGATATTACAATTAAAATTTTACATTGAATTTCCTGTTCAAAAGCCACTAGAGGAAGAACTGGTTGGCTCATGGAACTTGGCAATGGGATTGTCACATTTGGATTACCACTTCAAATCCAGACAGTGCTATTGCGGCACTTAAGCCCGGATCCAAATCAGTAATTTCTAGGCATTATCATCTGGTGACTGGTCACTGGCCTGCATGAAATGAGACTAAATGTTTTAAAACTAGGCCCTTCTTGGCCATAAGACCTTAGTATAAAAGGCTTGGTGACAGTTGATACCCTTGTCAAGGCATCTGAGTGGACAGAATAAGGACTGAAGAAACAGGGAGAATGAGATGTCCTTTAGTCAACCCTTGAGCCTGCTGCTTTCAGACACAAGACAAACCTACTTCTAATTTGGATAGGTACCCACAATATCCTCTCTGAGCCCTTGATATGGTCCCCCAGAACAGCACTCCAATTATGGGGGAATAACGCTCACATAAACAGGGGGAAACTTGCACGACCACTACTCCTGCTATTGGTTGACCTGCTACTTGTCATGAGCAAAGACAGTGATGGATTTCACCAGACTTTCTGGAGGATTGTGACTGGAAAACAGCAAACAAAATTAACAGTGGAAGAGGTAGTAGGGGAGAAGATAAGAGTAATACAACACAAAAGAATGATAAATCTTGGAATTTCACATCAGTTGTTTCATAAACTTTAGAATAATCTGATAAACTGTGATGGGTAATGGTAATAAAATAAAATAAACTGTGACCTGTAAATAGTACACTCACTTGAAGAAAAATAACTAGGTGGAATTCAAAATGGAAATTGTATGTAACAAATCTGCTAAAGTCCTTTGTATCAGCTGTTTATCATAGAATCACAGAAAAGCCACAAAGGACTTTCAGAGGTCAGATTCAGAGGTGCTTCTGTCACCAGGTAGAGAAGTTCAGGGTAAAATGTGTTAATCCCGAGCAACAAAATATATTTAAAATTTATTTTTAAATAAGACATAGAATAAACGAACAAAATGTCCAATCCTTCTCTTCCTACAAATCCCCACATCTCTTTCTCGACATGCCAACAATCTACTCCTCCTTTAATATCCCTTGCCTTTTCACACCTCTGTTTCAACTGCAAGCTCTTCAAGCTTGGGACCATGCCTTCACATTTGTCAGTGACAGCAGTTTTTTGGGGCATTTGCCATAAAGAATTTGCCATTTCTTCATGACAGAAATTAAGGGTTAGATGTAGGTTTTAATCCAGAAGGTAAGAATGCTTCTATTTCTCTTCCTATTAAGACATTTGTATCCTCATAGCAATATAGACATGGATAATAGATGGCTCAAGAATGAATACACAGATCATGATAATTTACCTAGCAGCATAAACTATAAGAAATACAAAGCTCTTCTTTCTCTTCCACATTCTCACTTCATTTCCCATTGTCTCCAAAAGACATTCAGACTTGGGTGCATCTGAATGTGAGCTTTGCTATGGAGTTGACCAATTAGCTCCGCAGCAAACCATCACCATCTACACGTGTGCTTGTATTAGGGTGCAATAAATTAAAAAGCTCTGCTGTAGGATAGTACTGTCCAGGACAAGTACTATTCCATTGTGGAGTAATTTATCCTCCCCTAACTCACATGTAGACAATGACTGGAGCTGGCTGGGGCATGAGGGTGCTACTGTGTAAGGGCTGCCTGCTGGCTAATCCCACACTGTAGCACCCTCATGCCCCAGTCAGCTCCACCACCACCCAAAGCTGGCACCTGGAGCCTGGGGCTGACCCCATAGCCCGCTGCCAACCTGGAACTGCTCTGTCCTGGCTCCAACTGCTGTGGTCTCAGGCACACATGTATATGCTGTGCCCAGGAGTTGTTGACTCCAGTGCAAACTGCACCAGAGTTTATTGCTCCATGCTAATTGCACATGTAGATTTAACCTCTAGGACTAATTTGTTAAGGTTAATGAAGCAGACCTTTGTCTTCTTTAGGAAAAGGGCTTATTTTATAGTACTTGTTCACTGACTTATTTAAAATATTCATAATTAATAAAGGACTCATAAAAGAGGTTAAATGAACACCCTGAATGAAGTCCTCACTGCCTGGAAGTAATGGTAAGTCTCCCCTGTTAGGATTTCTCCTCCTTATGTACATATGCTTCTAGAGGGAGGGACTGGTATGCATGATCAAAATGTAAAAAAATGCCATTAAGTCTGTTTATGAAAAAGACAGGTATGCTGGTGTGTTTGATTTTTTTCAGCTTGTGAAGTTCTGATGGCATCTTTGTACATGCAGTACATTAAGAGAGAATAAAGGGAAAAAAGAAACTACCAATCACAGAAATGACGTTACAAATTCCCACCTGAAATCTTACACAGAAGTGAGCTTTAGGCTACAATCATTAAAGCAGAAGTACCTTGTTTTCAAACTGAACACAGTCACCATCATCCAACACCACTGTGTGGTGGGGTTCAATTTTTTGTTTGGCAGCATCAGGGCCTTTGAACAAAAACATAGTTAAAAAGACAATGAACAGCATGATCAAAGTTACAAATTATGAATTTGTTATCCTTCCTTTCCAAACATTCTGTGATAAGGGCTCCTATACATGTGCTCAAAGCCTGCTCCAATGCACTGGAAATCTAGTGTGTTGGAGCAGACTCAATTAATCGAGTCTGCTGGAGCACAGAAATTGATGTGCTCTGGAAACCTTCTTCATCATGTGTATCAGTGTCCCAGTGCATCTCTGCTCTGAAAAAATGGTGGTGGGGTGCTTTGAAATAAAACATGTTCAATGAGCTTTAGTTCAAAGCACCTCATTTCCATGTTTTCAGTGCAGGGATGTGTGAGGATGCTGATACACGTGACACACGGACGTTTTTAATTAGCACGGCTCACTAACTAAAGTGCCTGGTGCTGCGTCCCACAGCACATGTAAAAATGCCCTTAAGTTATTGTACTCAATGTGCTTTTTACAAAAATTAACTTTTCCCGAATTGGTTTGCTCCTTCCACACATACACGTCCTCCTCACCAGATAAACAAATCCCATTTCTCCTGTTCTCTCAAGATCCTCTCAAGATAACTGCAACAGATTAAGAATTAGTTGAGAACGTTTCATTTGAGAATGGAGGCTTGATGGAAATTAACATATGTGAAATACTAATAGGAAAGCTCCTGGTATAGGGGTTGCAAATAGATCTATGAGGGTGCAAAACTTCTAACCCTTTTTGGGTAGATGCAAGGGGTGTTAACAAAGAGTCCCAAGACCTTTTTATGTTGTAACATGGGGTCTTGGTATAAAACTGCACAATACTTCTACAATAAAAGAAATACAGAATTCAAAGACAATCCCTAAATTTGAGTAGTTGTACTCAAACTGTTCTGGAAACTAGTCAGATAGGATTTTTATATTTTCAGAGAAGAAATCTGTCCTAAGGCCTTATCTCTCACATAGACCCCACTAAAGTTTCTTAAGAGGGATCAAGGGGGTGCATACTGCCCTGTGTGAGCCTTCTTAACTCTTCACCATTATTTACTATTGGTCACAGACTAACAGGATGTGACTACGCATTTCTACTTGATTCTGGGTGAGAGTATTGGGGGAGGGAGTCTCCAAGTTCTTTCCCTGTGTACCACTTAGGTTGCTATCCAGTTCAGAGTGTGAATAATTTAGGATACTACCACTCTGAGTAATGATATAGTAAAAAATGATTTATTAAATTTTTCTAAGTGAAATTTCCAAGCCCTTCAAAACTGGACAAATGAGACTAATAAATATTTTCCAGACAAAAAAACTGTTGTTTTTTAATTGGAATTCGTGTGCAGCTTCTTTCAGGACTGTTTATATGATACAAAAGTACAAGACAATGGGAAAATGATCAGTGTTCATCATGTGTCAGATGAAAGTAGAGCACTAAACTTAGCCATATGTTACCAAGTATCCCTGAAAGGCCAGCTGTAGAGGTAGAGTGCTCAGCTTGGTCCCTCTATGTGCATTTTGTAAATGAATATTCAAGGGTAGGACAGGATGACAGGGTTGCTGGAATCAGTTTTTTCATTATGAAAGAACATTGATGCATTTAAAAACAATTAACTGGACTTAAAACAATATGATAATGTTTAAAAGGTGTCCATATAATGCAAAAATCAGCAGGGTTATTTTAAAAATAACCTATTACACATCCTAAGTATTCTCTATTCTATTGTCCTTCCAGGGAATTTAAGCTTAGACAATGTCAGCACAAATTCTCCAAGAAACTGAGATTCTGACTTTCTGTGGGATCATTTCTACTTCCCTAAAACGTTTGTATTGGATGGACAGAGGTTATAATGTCATGGTCTGAAAAATGACTTCATATTAGGTATAGAATAGATCTAACCCATGTTTTTCTCCTGTTCTGGCAATTCTGTCTTCATGGTTGAATGGTAGGCCCTTCATCCAGTTCTGCAACATTTTAGATTTATTTTCCAAAAAAAATGTATGTATGAATGGTTTACAGAGGAACCGCAGAGCAGCAGTACAGAGGGCAATATCTATGTTCACAGGTAATTTCTCTGTTATTTTGTTAAATTACCTAGTTTTCTTATTGCAAATAAAGTATGTCTCAAAGGACAAAATATTTTTAAATAGCTTTCAGTTAAAACCAGCCACATCAGATAATAACTATTTTCCAGATAAGAACTGCTAACCTTGGCCAGGAACACTAAGTATAATAGTACAGCTCAAAAAATTCCTACTAAAAAGAATTCAACTGCAAATCTTGTTAGATTTGGCTTTCCAAGCCTTTGTAAAAACACAGGAAAAGCTACCTGAAAAACCTGGTTCTAATTTAGTACCAGACTAGTTTCATAAACTATTACTTTATGAGCTACTGTTTATTTATTCCCCAATGGATCTAGTTCTTTTTTAGTAGAGCTAAACAGGTTGTAATTCCTAGTATCCTGAGGCATATTGCCCAGGATAATAATAAAATAGGTCCTGTTCTTTTTTGGATGCAAGTCCAGATCAAGGTTGTAAACTTTATGTAATCCCTCACAGAAAGGATAATTGTTGGGCAAGTGACGTAAGATGCCCCCATACTTCCCTCTCTTGGCTACCCACCTGGCAGATCACATGGGACACAGAAGCCTGTGAAGCGGCTACTATTCACCTTCTTGCACACATGGGTAGAAAAAAAGAAAGGGGGAATCATTTACACCACCCCTACATGCAGTTCAGTGCAGCTCAGCTTCTGCACTAGGGACTAAGTTAAGACTTGCACAGGTTACTTCTGCTGTTCTTTTAAGTTGGGACCAAACTAGTATTGTCAGCTGTTATCTCGCTTTTGCTTTGCTCCTGTGGTAACACATCTTTGTGTTGACCCTTACTCAGTTTAGCCCCTGCTAAGCAGTTTAATCCATCAGTTGTGAGCATCTGTCCTTTGTTAGATGGGGACAGGGAGTTCCTCTACCTGCATTTCTTGATTTGCTCAGCAGCACCTAACTGTCATTTTGCTATAACGCCTGATATACACACACCATTAGGAACACCTTTCTTACAGACCAACCACTCTCTCTCTGACCTCACTATTCTCATGCACAAGGGAAATGTACCTAACATGTTTAAAAGAGAAACTTGGGAACAAAATCCATAAGTTGAGAGGAGTGACATTTGTCATGTGATCGGCCCCCTGAAAGCACTCTACGGCCATGCTGTGACTTACATGCATGGCTGCACAGCACTTTAAAAGTGGTCTATTGTGAGATAAATTAGCCCTCATTTAATGAGGGATCAGATGAAGGCGCTCCAAAGTGGAGAATCTTAGGGAACTTCTGTTACCTAGGATGTGTTTGTCAGTGCAATCAGGGCTGGGCTGACTGCCCGCCATGCTGGCTGCAGGAAGGGAGTGGAGAGAAGGGAGGGGGTGGAGCTGTGGGCTGGGGTTTGCCTGACCTGAGATGGAGCAAGGGGATGGGATGGGTGGGGATGGTGGATTGGAGCCCCACCACCATGCAATGCTCCCCCAATTCCGTCCCCCTGCAGCTCAGGTCGGACAAACCCAAGCCTGCAGCTCCCTCCCCCTCCCTTCTCCCTGTTCCCTTCCTGCAGACAGCACTGGAGCTGGGGCCGGGACCAGGGCTAGAGGAGAAAGGCTGCAGGCAGGCAGCTTCTCCTCTGGAATGGCTCCAAGTGGAGCTTGATCCCCTCCCATCCCAGCCCAACAGAAAAATGGTCAATCTAACTTATGGTACTTTATATGAAGCACCATGAGTTAGAGCAGGGACCTGCATGTCTATCAGCACCCTGAGAACCAAGGGCTAAACACCAATATTAGTTTTATGGCACATAATAATTTATCCAATTCTACACAAGGAAGGTGAGAATGATCCTACTCCCTGTTTTGATAGGCCTTGATCTCCCAGTAATCAGACTCTGATACTATGTCTGCTACCCCTCATAATTTCTCTCAGCCTGTCCCCTCTGCTATTTCCCTATGCTGTGCCTAGTTTCCCATGATCAGGGACCTGATGAAGAATCTCTTGCATACAAAACCATGTCTAACTTTATCCCAAATATATAGTTGTTCCAATAAAAGATATAACTCTAAGAAATCGTTGCCTCATGCATTTTATCAGCACATCCCTTATCCTGCAGTTTGCTCTCCCAGCTTGGTCCCCCTGCCTCTGTGTGGAGTCCACCAGGGCTCTGTGGAGGCCTACACAGAGG